GAGGAGGAGGGAGAAATTTAAAATCTGGGTGACTAAAGGGAAGAGAAGGGATGATGAGTTCTGCGTGCAGATGTGCGGTATCCGGTGGAGGGCGGAGCGAGAGGTGGGGGGTTGAGGAAGAGGAGGAGGAAGGAGTTGCGGGGAGAAGAGGAGAGAGGAGCGGACAGGGGCTGCAGCGGAAGCCGGGCACCGACTGGCTGAGTGCGGGGGAGGAATGAGAAGCAGGAGTCGGTGGTCTCTGCTTCACAAGGACTGAATAGTTTGGTGGTCAAGCGCGCACGTCTTRAGAACAGCGGGAGGTGCATTACGTCATCGCCCTGGATGACCGCGCGCACAGGACGGGATGATGCGGCGCTGCTGGACTAGAGGGGAAACCGGTGCCGCACGCGAGCGCCCGCGGGCGGGGTCTCGCGCGGGGAGACAAGAAGAAGGGAAGCCGCCTTCGCGCGGCCGTGGGGTCTGATGGCTCCTCGCGCCCGGGGCGGGAAACAGACACAGCAGAAGAAGCAGCAGCAGCAGCAGTCGCCGCGGCGCGAGAGGAGCAGCAGCGGCGGCGGAGGGTCTCTGGGAAGTGACGTGGTGTCCGCGCCCCGCCAGCGAGCACCACGGTGCGGTTGTCGTGCATTTCGCAGGAGGGCAGGGGGAGCGGGAAGGGGAACATGGCCGCGCAGTCGGACGGCGGCAAAGCCGGGGTCGGCTTCGCGCAGCTGTACGACGTGGACGCCGAGGAGCCCCTGGACTCCGCCGCCATCCACATCTGCCAGTGCTGCCGCTCCTCCGCCTGCTACTGGGGCTGCCGCTCCGCCTGCCTCGGCTCCCTGCTCGGTGGGGGCCAGCCCCTCGGAGGGGCCGGAGTCCGGGAGACCCACTGCCCACCCCGCGAGCAGCTGTGGCTGGACTGCCTCTGGATCGTCCTGGCCCTGCTGGTCTTCTTCTGGGACGTGGGCACGGACCTGTGCCTGGCGGCGGACTACTACCAGAGGCGGGACTACCTCTGGTTCGGCCTCACGCTCTTCTTCGTGCTGGTGCCGTCCGTGCTGGTCCAGATTCTGAGCTTCCGCTGGTTCGTGCAGGACTACACCGGCGGGGGGCTCGGGGAGGTGGAGGGGCTGACCAAGCGGGGCACGGTGGCCCTGGGRTGCCTGTACCCCGGGAAGGACCGCCTGCAGCTGGTCACCATCTGGCTGTGGCAGGCCGTCATCCACGTCCTCCAGCTGGGACAGGTGTGGAGGTGAGAAGACCCACCTGGTCCTCACACACACACACACACACACACACACACACACACACACACACACCGCTGGAGAGCGGCAGCAGCAGAGGGAACCAATTAGTGGTCTGGCTTTGATGATGTCACTGACAAGTCACGCACCGATGGTACGGCTTCCGTTCAGAGGGAAACATAATACGCTCACACACACACACACACACACACACACACACACACACACACACACACACACACACAC